AAATTTGGCAATATTGCCCTCAAAACAGCATTGTCTTCCAACTGATGATCACAGGTGCTTTGTCATTTTTTTAGGTATTATTTAATTTATATGAACAATTTTTTTTAAGTTTTTGGTGTAGTCTTGCATCTTCTTGTTTACATTTATCACTAAGTATTTTATTATTTTGTAAATGGAATTATTTTCTTAATCTCCCTTCCAGATTGTTCGTTGCTAACGTATAGAGATACAACAGATTTTTGCATGTCTATCTCGTATCCTGCAACTTTACTGAATTCATTTATTAGCTCCTCCAATAAATAGTTTCTAATCTGTAGGTTCTTTGGGATATAAATATATATATTTATATCTTTAATCTGTGAATAGAGATACAGGGATAATTTTCTTCTTGCGCTCTTTCCTTTTAATTTGGATAACTTTTGTTTTATTTATTTTTTCTTTCCCAATTGTTATGGCTAGGACTTCCAGTACAGTGTTGAGTAGAAGTGGGGAGGGTGGACATCCTTATCTTGTTTCAGATTTTAGGTGGAAACTTTTCAGACTTTCACTATTAAATATGATGTTAGATGTGGGATTTTCACAGATGTCCTGTGTCATGCTGAGCATGTTCCCTTCTATTTCTATTGTGTCTAGTGTTTTTAGTCATGAAAGGGTGTGGGTTTTGTCAAATGCTTTTTTTCAAAATACTGAGATAATTATATATTTCTTTTTTACCCTCTTCATTTTATTAATATAGTTTATTATATTAATTGTATGTGGAACGACCATTTTTCCTGGAATAAGTTTCCCTTGTTCCTGATGTATAATTCCCTAATATGATCTGGATTTTGTTTGCTAGCTTGTTAAGGATGTTTACATCTTTTTTCGTGATGTATATTTCTGGCTTGTGTATCAGAATAATGTTAAGTAATGATTTATCAATATTTTGATATATTAATATTTTTGTTATGTTGATTATATAGTGATAAATAAGAATAATAATAAATGAGTTAGTGAGTGTCCCTCCTCTTTTGTAATTTGGAAGTGTGTGAGAAAGACTGGCATTAATTTGTCTTTAAATGTTTTGTAGAATTCCCATTGAAGCCATCTGGTCCTGGACTTTTATTTTTTGAGAGATTTCTCATTACAAATTCAATCTCTTTAATTGTTATAGATGTGCTCAGATTTTCTATTTCTTCTTGAGATAGCATTGGGAGTATGTATGTTTTTAGGAATGTGTCCATTTCATCTAGGTTGTCTAACTTGTTGGTGTAAATTTGTTCATAGTATTGTTTTCTAATCCCCTTTATTTCTGTAAGGTCAGTAGTAATGCCCCCATTTCCATTTCTAATTTTGGTAATTTGAGTTTTCTCTCTATTATTAATCACTCTAGCTAATGGTTTGTAAATTTTGAACATAGTTTCATAGAACCAACTTTTGTTTTCATTGATTCTTTTGTTTTTCTATTCTCTATTTCCTTTATCTCTGCTCTATTATTCTTATTATTATTTTGTTTATTTGTTTGTTTTTATCCTTCATTCTGCTAGCTTGGGTTTAGTTTCTTTACCTTTGTGGTCCTTTAAGGTGTAATGTTAAGTTATTGATTTGAGATCTCTCTTCTTTTTTACGTAGGCATTTTTGCAGCTATATATGTCTTTCTGCTCACTGCTTTGGCTGCATGCCCTAAGTTTTTTTATGTCATGTTTTTTATTTCATCTGTTCTAAAGTATTTTCCAATTTCCTTTGTTATTTCTTCTTTGACACATTGGTTGTTTAACAGCATATTTTGCTTAATTTCCATATATTTTTGAATTTTTCTGTTTTAATTCTGTAATTGATTTCTAGCTTTATTTCACTGTGGTAGAAGGTACTTTGTACGGCAATTTTTTAAAATTTATTTTGACTTATTTCTGACCTAATGTGTATTATATTCTGAAGAATGTCCATGCATTCTTGAAAAAAATGTGTATTCTTCTGTTTATTTATAGTGTTGTTCAGGTCCTCTGTTTCTTTTTTGAACTCTGTCTGATTGCTCTGTCTATTATTAAAAGTGGAATATTGAAATCTTCAGCTATTATGGTAGCTATTTCTCCCTTTAGTTCTATCAATTTTTACTTCACATACTTTGAGGTTCTGTTGTTAGGTCGGAGCCCTGGTGGTGCAGTGGCTAAGAGCTATGGCTGCTAACCAAAAGGTCAGCAGTTTGAATCCACCAGCCACTCCCTGGAAATGCTATGGGGCAGTTCTCTGTCCTATAGGGTTGCTATGAGTTGAGATTGACTTGACAGCAGTGGGTTTGATTTTTTTATTCTTAGATGAAGAGCTCTGGTGGCATAGTGGTTAAGTGCTCAACTTAACCAAAAGGTCAGTGGTTCAAACCTAGCAGCCTCTCTGTGGCAGAAAGATGTGGCGGTCTGCTTCCATAAAGATTTACAGTCTTGGAGACCCTATGAGGCAGTTCTGCTCTGTTCTATAGGGTCAATATGTGTCAGAATCCATTTGGCAGTGGCTTTTGGTTTTGGGTTATTGTTAGGTGTGTGTATGTTTATAATTGTTATATCTATTTGAAGGATTGACACTTTAATCATTATATAATTTCCTTCTTTATTCCTTATGACAATTTTTGACTTAAAGTCTATTTTTTTCTAACATTAGTACACCTACTCCAGCTGTTTTTTGTTTTTGCGTTTTCAGCTTATTTGCATTGTTGGATCTAAAGTGATCTATTATAGGTAGTATAAGTCCAATGTCTGTACTTCCTCAGGGACAGTCTCAATTATATATATATTTTTTTCCTGTATGGCAGTACACATTCTTGTTTCTTTTAATACCTTGTAGTAATTTTTGTTTAAAAGTGGACATTTCGAATATTACAGTGTGGCAACTCTGGAAATCAGATATTCCTCACTCACCAGGGTCTCTTGTGGCTGGTTGATTTATTTATTTATTTTTTGTCTACTAACACTTTCGAACTTACTTTGTAAAGACTATATTATTTGTCATGTGTGGCCACTAATGTGTCTATACTCTTAGCTTAGTGGTCAGCTAGTGATTCAATATAAATTTCCTTAAATGTTTGAAGCAAACAAAAAAAAAGAAACAAGCAACAAAAGAAACTTCAAGTCTTTGTTGTTGGGACATGCCTTCAACACTCAGCCAGGCAGTTTAAAGCTCTGACTTACTCTTCACTTACTGCTTGTGCAGAGCCTGAAGGTCAGATAGAGGTGAGCTCTCAAGAGCCTTCTCAAGTCCTTTCTGTACATGCACCCACTGTTAGGCATCCCTGTGGCCTTCTAGATTCCCAGAAATATGTGGGAGCTTTTCAAGGCTCTTATTCCCCAATGTATCTCATTCTCCAGTCTTTCATCCCAAGCTTTTCAGCTAGTCTATTGTTTGTCCCACCTGTTATTCCTTGCCCCAAGTGAGAGTTGCTAATACATTTTACTTTAATTGTTTTAGCAAATGCCTTCTGGATAGCTGTCTCAGCCCTGGGAGATTTCCAAGTTAGGCCAAGAAGCGCTGAGTTGCTAGTTCTACAAGCCATTAAACCATTTGCGACAAGAACCACATTCTTTGAGATTAAGGTCCTTCTGCTCTGGTACTAGGAACATGTGATGGAAGTGCGGGCTATTTTCTTCAAAGATGCCACTGAGCTGGGGAGTAGGGGGTGGGACCAGGGTAGGTTAAAATGGCACGAAGTTTTCTTACCTAGTTTCAGCTGGGTTTTTTCCCCTTGATTAAGTATTCAACAATTTTTTGTAAACTTTGGATTGGTTTCCAACTTCCAGTTAAGTTGATTCTGACAGTTTTCCCAGTTCAGTTTATTCATGCTTTTGTGGAGGGAGGGACTTTTGAAGATCCCTACTACACAACGTTTATTAATGTCACTCTTTGTCTTTCTTAATTTTGGTATATTTTTAATTATAGAGGGTAGTAATTTTGTACAATATCCCAGCATTTTTGTTTGTCTGTTGTTTTCTTATTATTAATTCCGATTTTATATTCATTATTGTCAGGATCACACAGAAGTGATATTCTATCCTATTGCATCATATCAGGATTGCTAATTATTATAATTAATCCTTTTCTAACTTTAACATTCTTTATATATCTATGACTTTACATGCTACATTAAAGGAAAATTTCCCCTTGTCATTTATTTATGTATATGAATATGGATGAATAGAGTCTTATTTTACTTAATTCCTTATACTCCTTTACCTTGTTTTCATGCTCACATTGCTACATATTTGGCCAGTGAGAGCCCTTCCTAAATTTATGTGTGTGTGTGTGTGTGTGTGTGTGTGTGTTTGCGTGTGTGTCCCTTTGATATGCCTCTGGTTCTCTGAGGACTTCTTTAATTTCTGGGACAACAAAATAATCCAGGATCATGTTGTCCATTCCCTGATACAGTCCTGGAAGGAATGCGGGTGCATTTCAATGGCTAACGGTATTTGGAAACTCAGAACTGCAGAAATATGAAACATCATTAAAAATATATGCTTAGAGGAAACTGAGTTTCTGTTACGAATGATGGTATAATTTGGTAATGGATAAGGATGATGGCTGAACAACGTGATGAAAGGAACTAATGTCACTGAACTGTATATGTGAAGACTGTTAAAATGTCAAATATTTTGTTACATATATATTTACTGCTATATATGTATATGCTTATATATACATATACATATACAAACACACACACACCTATGTGTGTATATATAGAGAGGGAGTCCTGGTGGTGCAGTGGTTAAGAGCTTGGCTGCTAACCGAAAGATCAGCAGTTCGAATCCACCAGCCACTCCTGGGAAACCCTATGGGGCAGTTCTACTCTGTCCTATAGGGTCACTATGAGCTGAATTGACTTGACAGGAGCAGGGTTTGTTTGATGGTATATATATGTATGTATGTATATTACTCATAGTTTTCTCATGATGCTGTATTTGTTGGTTTCGTTTTGGAGAAGCAAATGATAAATAATGTCATTAATGTACTTTCTTTTCCATTCCTTCCTTCAGTTCCTCCAGTCATCCGGGTGTATCCAGAGAGTCAAGCTAGAGAACCTGGGGTAACGGCAAGTCTTAGGTGCCATGCAGAGGGTATACCAAATCCTCAGCTTGGCTGGCTGAAGAACGGAATTGATATTACACCAAAGTTATCCAAGCAACTCACGCTTCAAGGTGCCTTGTACTTGCATTTTTTTTTTCTTTTAAGTGACCATATAAAAATTTTTAACTAAAACTTATAGCATATTTTTATATTATTTAGTAAAAAGAGACAATGAGTCTTGGTGGCAACAGAATGGCATGAATGTGAATATAATATATATTGTACTTAAGACAGTATATTTGAAATAGAATCCTTTCATACTTTTACTGTTTTACATAAGAGTCTTGTCATGATGCTTAATTATGTCATTCTTTTGGTGATAAGTAAAATATTAAATTATGTAACTGTTAAATATTTGTCCATGAATTGCAGCAGACACACTGAACAGGATAATTGGATCTCTTCATAAAAATGTATATCTGAATATTTCAACCTTTAATGTGTAAATGATATGTTAAAATATGTACTATGGAGGGTTTCAATAGTATAAAACATTTTTGTGAATGATTTGCAGCATACTTTGTAACTAAAGAGAAGATAAAGTGAAAAAATCAGTTAATCAGTTTGTTTACATTCCTTTTTAAAAATATGCATTGTAATATATAAAATATTCTGTATATTCCATTATTCTAATGTGTAGGCATCATTCAATTATTCTACAGATTAGAGTAATAATAATTACATGGGAAATGACAAACCAAAAAAAAAAAAAAAACAATTTGTTAAGGCCCAATAGTATACATAGTGCAAAAGCAGTTGCAGATAATATGTTGATAGAATTGGTTGGAAAAAACAAAACAAAACACAAGTCTTATTTCCAATTTTAGGAGTAGCCCACATCAAATCATCCTACCTAAAATATCTGTTGAATAGGTATTATATATCTTATTCTTTGCCTTTAAAATTCTTCAACTCATATTACTGTAAATGAATATATTTCCATTTTTTATTATTTCTTAAAGTATAGGCTTCTTTTACTATTCCATTTAAATGTTGAATATGTTTAAACAGTATACATTTTTTAAAAAAGCTTTTCAAGACTTTTATTTATTTCTGTAAGTCAAAGAGGACATGTCTGTTAAAGTATGCTTCAACTTTAAAACTTTAATCCTATAAGTCACTATATTAATATAAGTAAGCCCAACCAATTTACAAATTTACATCCACTGCTTGCATCCTGGGGTCTATAATCTGAGAACAGGATTGGTCTGATTAACAGAAATTACAGTGAAGAAATTTTAAGTAACTTCTGATTCTGTCATTTCTTGCCCTTTTAATAGCAGTAAACCGTATTATGTAAGCATATAGTATTTTTGTTTTCAAAATATATAAGAAAGCACATTTGGGGAGTTTGTTCCACTCTCTATATTCAAAGAGTGAGAACCCTTGCAAAATGAGTGTTGCCATTTTTAAAGACGGGAGAAAATAGGTAGATGTGGAGGCAATATGAAATAATAAAAGGGAAGACAGAGCACAGCCTAGGAGATAAATCTGGGTGCCTATGAGCAGGGAATTCTGTGTGAGCTTCTGTGTAATCATATACTACCAGATACTATGGTTGTTTTCCCTGTCTGATGTGAACAGTTTGTGCTTGGCAAACTAACAGAAAGGTGGATAGTTTGAACCTACCCAGTGGCTCTGTGAAGAAAGGCCTGGTGAAGAAAGGCCAAGGAAACCCTGTGGAGCTTAGTTCTACTCTGTAATGCATGGGATTGCTGGGAGTCAGAATTGACTTGATGGCAATATTTTTCTTTGTTTATTTGTTTTGGTTTGCTGTTGTTTAAGTATCTGTTCATTTATCAGAGGCTTATTTAGCATTCGTGTATGAGGCCCAAGCCTAGGCCCTAACTAAGTAACTATGGCAATGAAGAGAAGAGCTAGGCATAATATACGGATGAGGATGAGAAGACCTAGGTATGATATACGGATAAGGATGAGAACACCTAGGTATGACATACGGATGAGGACGAGAAGACCTAGGTATGATATACGGATGAGGATGAGAAGACCTAGGTATGACATATGGATGAGGATGAGAAGACCTAGGTAAGTTATACAGATGAGGATGAGAAGACCTAGGTATGACATACGGATGAGGATGAGAAGACCTAGGTATGATATATGGATGAGGATGAGAAGACCTAGATATGATATACTGATGAGGATGAGAAGACCTAGGTGAATATACAGATGAGAATAAGAAGACCTAGGCAGAATATATGGATGAGCGGGAGTGAGAAGCTGGATAAACACAAATAATTTCTTAGCATGAGAATGAAGATAATTAATACAAAGGGACTAAACACCAGCAGACTGGAAGGTGAATCATATAATAATACAGTAACAAAAGAATAGAGGTTTTGAGAATGAGAAGAATGTTCAACAATTTCAGATGCATACAGAGGCCAATGAAGTCTTTGAGATGTGTCACAGATCAGCTCATTAGTTGGTCATTGTGACGTTTGGAAGAACAGTATTAGTAGCAATCAGTGTTCTGTGGGTTAAGAGATGAAAAGAAGGAAAGAAGGAAAAAAAACTCTCTCCCGATTTTTAAAGTAAGGAAAGAGAAAGTAGTAGCATTTTGTCGGGAGGGTCAGGAATAATGGAGTTTTTTTTTTTTTTTTCTTGGAAAACTTACGAGTTGTAAGAAACATCAATGGAGAGAAAGTGTTGGGTGTTACTGGAGGGGTGAAGGATGAAAGAGTGGTAGAAATCAACAAGAGAGGAGAGGTGATTTGCCTGGAAAAGAAATAGAAAGCCTCCTTTGAGAAGTAAATGTAGGTAAAGACGTAGATGGCAAGAGGAATTTTTGGGTTTACTTTCTGATCGCTTCCTTGTATTTCATGATTTAAGGAGCAAGGTAACATAGAGTAAGGAAGTTAATATTACAGTGGGGAACATGAAACAAGGAGTAATAGTTTAAATAAAAATGAAAAGTCAAGTGGAAGTACTATCAAGGAACACTGAAAATTCTGCAAGTTTAAAACCGGATTTGCATATTTGTAAATTTGCCACGCTACGGTCTCATAATTCACTCTGAGAACTAGATGCAGGGAAACCAGGTGCAGAGATGCATCAGATTATTCCAGTTTGGAGGTTAGTAAGGTAGGTGTGGTGTGATTAATGGACACTGAAATTGGTACTCTGGCAAGAGAATGGAAATCATTCAGAAATGCTAGATTGTGTAAGGAAGAAGGGGAAGACACTGACTCCTACAGGTTCGGAGAATATATACAAATCTTAGGAAAAGAGAATTTGAAGAAGGAATAAATCTTTGAAGTTTCAAGATAATCTCGACAATGCAGGGTGTTAAGTGTATGGATCTTGAAAGAAAAGCTGTGTCTTTTGGAGAGAGCCATGTTTCATCTAAACAAGAGGCTGGTGCAGGCTTCAGTACATTGTTCACAGTCTGTCTTTTCAAGCAGTGGTCTGCCAGCTCTGGCCCACAGACCAAACAGGACTTGTTGCCTGTTTTTCTAAATAAAGTATTTTAAAATACAAACACATCCATTTGTTTAAATTCTGTCTATACCTGTTTTCATGCTACTTCAACAGAGTTGAGTATTAAGTAGTTACCCCAGAGACTGTGTTTTACAAAGTGTGAAATTGTTACTATTTAACCTTTTACAGAAAAAAGCTTGCCATTCCCCATTTTATGGTAGTGATTCTCAACAAAAGACTGAGGGATAGGGATGGGCAGTAAGCACTGGAAAATTGAGAAAAGGGTTCAAGTGATTGGAATGAGTATCCCTCCTTCCCAAACACCCACTTCCCCTCCATATCTCACCAACATCCCGTTGAGGACCACTGTCTCTTCAGAAGGACATTAAAGTCCCATCATAATTCACTCCCAACTTAGATTAATAGTCTATTTCCCTGTTTGTTTTTTACCCTTGTCTCTCCAGTATCAGCCACAACAAGTATTTTAGCTCCTACCTGTCAGAGTTAGCCGTGTTCTGTTTTGTTACGCATGGTGCTCTGTTGCTGGTTGTCCAGAATTCCTGACTAGACAGCTGTACAATTTCACTGTGTTCGTTTTCTAATAGAGTAAAACTCCATGAGTATACACCTTATGATGATGCAGACTAGGACTTGATGTACTGATCCAGGCTCCCAGATGTCCGCAACTCCCAACTAGAGAGCTAAATATGCTCACCCCATTCATTTCCTCTCCTAATCATTCCAGACATGTAATAGGGCCACAGTAATAAGCATGATGAAAGGCCATAGTATTATTTTTGCATTACGTAGCCCACTTAATTTCTTTATACAAATATCTTTTCATATCTATTCTCCTGTAAATGAACTATATTGGTATTACATAAATCGGCTGTAAAAGCTTAGGACAAAGTGCATTCTGAATATTACAAATAAATATAGAAAGTGAAATTATGGTTATCAATATGAAATACTTCATATACAAGATAGGAAATAGAAAATGGATATAAAATATGAAGTGTGTACATTGGATCTATAATACTGGGGCTCTCTGTAACAGAATGACAGCGGCACAGGTTATAAAACACATGGATGCTTCTGGAATAATTTGGCATGCTTGCAAAGCATGGAACTAGGAAGAAAAACACTTTAATTAAGACAAGCTAAGAAAACTGTCTGACTGTGTAATCAGAAAGCACTGTACCAAAACTGAAATTGTGGTTTACAAGTGCATTTGCTTTCTGTTTTCAGCAAATGGCAGTGAGGTTCACATAAGCAATGTACGTTATGAAGATACGGGCGCGTACACTTGTATCGCAAAGAATGAAGCAGGAGTGGATGAAGACATCTCTTCTCTTTTTGTGGAAGATTCGGCTAGAAAGACCCGTATGTATTAAACACACACACACACACACACACACACACACACATGCACACGCACCAGACTCAACTTCACAATGCAACTCTGACAAAAAACAAGGACACCAAAAAACTCCATGAAATCCACAGTGCATATAAGACAATAGTTTTAATATGTAGGAAAGAGAGGACTTTTGAAATATTTAAAGTAGACTTAGGATTAAAAAACAAACTTTGTGATATTTTCAACACAGTACTAGCATTTGTTTCTTTTTCAAGTGTTATATAGGATGTTTTAGGCCATATCTTTTCCCATCTGCTCGTACAAGAATGTTAATTCTTTGAAAATCCTCCTTCCAATCTATGTTTTGGGAATACAAAGCATTTGATCCCAAAATATACCCAAGGGGTATCCTTTGGATGTTAACAAATTAATACATTTTTCTGTCGGTGTCATTGAGCCAGTGGCCCCATAGCTGTATAGCAGTGCTTCTCTGCCCTAAGGTTCCTGCCACCACCGCATTCAAGCCCCTGGAGATGACACCACTCAAAGGGCTACTCTGCGTTTAGTGCTAGAAATCCATTGTCATCGCTTCACTTGTCTCCTGATTGTCTCCTGAAGGGATAACAAAAACACACTCTTCTTTTTTTGCTTACTACTTGACTACTTGGTGACAGGGATATGGATGTGGTAGAGATGCTAAAGGTGGAGTTTTGGTTACAGCTGAATTTCTTAGAACTCAAAGCACTATTACAGTGTTTATCGAGTGAATTTTCTGAGGGGGCAAACACACAGACCTCCTCTTCCCGTGATCCACACAAGCCACACTATGTCTTGTTTGGGATTGGATCTGTCCATATCTGGAGCTACTATTCCCCTGGCAACGTGCTCCTCAGTCTCATTTGTCATGCCCATTTCCCCCACCCATTAATCTAAATTGCTTTTAGGGACCCTGTTATTCTTGGGGCATTCCAATTAGTTTGACACTTCCATTTCTCTGAATGTTAAAACATTGTCATAGAAGGCTTCTTACTCGTCTTTAAATCAGCAGGTACATGTAGATATGAGTGGATTCTATGGGAAAGGGGAATCTTACCCAGGCCCCAACTCCCAATGTATCTGCATCTGTGTTTGATCCTGCTGGGATAACCATCATTACAAACATACACTTAGAAAGTTCTTAAGGTAAACAAAGAAAAACAAAAGCTGAATTTAGAAAACTGGGTAATGTCCACCAAAATTTCTTTATTCAATCCCTTTATCTATTTCTACTAAATACCAATTTTCAATATGCATTCTGGTGAAAATTAATTTTGGTTGACAAATAATTTAAAAAAATAGTTTTGTTTGTCCTGTATGATTCCATTTGTGAAGCAGATTTAAATTGCAAATCTGTACTCTGATTTTCCTTTAATTTTGTTATATATTTTTCACAATATTTTCCTAATTACATTAAAGCACCTAGACATAGTTTCTTTAATCAGTGAATCACTACCTACCAGCATGTAAATTTCAGGAAATGTTTAGAGCAAGACAATATAATTTTATTCTTATATTTAGTCTTATATATAAGTTGTTTATTTATGAAAAGTTTCTGAAGTGTTTTCACTGTAATTTTATTTATTTTAAATTCTTACAGGTCAGGTCAAAATAATATATTTAAATACATATATAAACAGATTGTATGTTAGAAGTATGTTTTTAAAATCAGAAGTAGCTTTTTTATGACATACAGCTGTGTATGTCATATTACATCTATGTTTACGGACCTTACCCAATTATCTTATTAGGGAGGAATAACGCAAATAAAATGTTTGGAGAGCTTTTCTTTCCACATCCGGAAGCAAATGTTTACAGATGTTACTTATATATTTAATTTGTGTGACTTCTTTAAGCCTCAAAATTAGAAATTGAACTAATTTTAGTGGTAGCCCAAAAGTCTCAAGCATTTATTGTTCATTTTTATATTCTACTCTTTTGTAGGCAAACATACACTGCTTCTTTGGAAGAACAGATTTTACTTATTATTAATGCCCTCTTAATTTCTGCTACTTTCTTGTTCTTTGTATTTGCTACCCTGATGATTGAGAAAATAACATATATATGTCTGTTGATGAAAGTGCCCATTTTTTTTTTGGAATCTGTGTGCATAATTACTATTAGGACAATACTAAATAAGTAAGCTAAACTGAGTAGATTATTAGAAAAATAAAGCCTTTTGTAAATCTTTATCTTAAGAATTACTCTGGGTTTTCTCCTAATTATACCATGGACACAAACTAATATTAATTATAAAAGGCAAATTTTTATTTTGACTGATAGATATTATCAAAAAATAATAAAGAGCCAGTCACAGACCCAGTGAAGGTTTTACTCTCATTGTTTATACATATTAAAACATTATCAACTTGTTCACATTCATCAGAAATAATATCAGAGGTCTATTTTCCTCTTAGTACTAATGGGACATGATAGATATTCAAAAAGCAAATTGCTATAATAGAAGAGCGTGAACTTTGGTTGCAATTGTTGTTCTATCAAGTTAATAGCCCTGTGATTTGGGGCTATTACATACATAGCCTGAGCTTTACTTTTCTGAGCTGTAATACAGAGTTATAAACACAGCTTGGGAACAGTGTCTGACCTCCTCCAACCCAACAAGGGAAGGAGAACCAATATCAACAGAACAAGGTTGACTCCCATGAGGTAGAGGCCAGACAAGCCTCCTCTCTCCTCCATCTTTACTAATTCTGTTCCTCCTTCGGCCCTCTCTACTTCTCTGCTGGCTTCGGTAATTCATTTCAATGGCCATACAGAACTCACAGACCATACTCACGGTTATGGGGTTTATTAGGGAAGTAACAGTTAGAATTCAGGCTCAGGCACACTCAGGGTACAGTTCATCCACCAAGATAGCCTCTCCGCAGCTGTGCTCACAGGCCCGCCTCTCCCTGGCCCTCAGTCTCTGCCCAGAGACACTCAGCTTTCTCTCTGTGTGGGCTGGGAAGCCCACTGCGTCATCTCCTGCTGCCAGGTCTCTGCTGCCACGTCTCTCCTTCCTTGGCGCTGGTGGGCTCCTCCTCTCTGCTCTGGAACTGGCTCTCTTTGAGGCAAAACTGATCAGTCCGCTTCTTAGGCCACAATTACCCTATCACACAGTCACCTGGGTGGGAGTTACAAGACCATGGCTAGAAGGGCCACACACGGAAGTAATTAATTGTTCAGCAGGAGTAAATAATAACTTACTCCTTAGCGAATGAGTTTTCTGTGCACATCATAAATAAACAAGTTATTGTGGTGTTAGACATAAAGTAGTTCTTCCTCTGACCCATACTTATTTTCTGTAAATAATTTATTTCTTGCTAGAAATGCAGACAAAAATCATAGTTTTAAAAAGGGCCCGCAGTACCCAGCAAATGACAGAACTCAGAGACTTTCCAAAAATGAATGATGAAGATAAATATAGATAAACCACTTGCCGTTGAGTCGATTCTGACTTGTGATGACCCCATGTGTGTCAGAGAAGAATTGTGCTCCATAGGGATTTCAGTAGCTGATTGTTTGAAAGTAGAATGCCAGGCCTTTTTTCTAAGGCACCGCTTGGTGGACTTGATCCTACAACCTTTCAGTTAGCAGCCAAGCTTTTTAACTGTGTGTACCAGTCAGGGGATTCATAGATAGAGATATAGATATAAACAGATATGGGGGTGTATGGGCGTCTATATTATTATATATCCAAATATAAAATGTCAATATTTCAATTAAAATTTAAAAACAAAATTGACTAAGTTGGTTCAGACATAAAGCTTTTCGTAATGGTAGATATTGGGAATTTTAATACAGGTCAGAATCTTTTCCCCAGGTCTAGCGTTATCACAGAGTCAAAGCAAAAGATACACTGTAGTTCTTCTATACATTGAGTCAGCTCATGCTTCTATTTTTAACATTCTTCTTTAATGCCTTTTTCTTCTGTTTTTGAAAGATGCAGGGGAAGACAGGTTTTAAATCCTATGTAGGCAGCAATAAAAATGGGGGAATATTTACAACTTTGGAACTAAATGACACAACACAGACTTGCTTTGTTTAGCTTTAGCTTCGAAGTACACATGCAGCTATTTTCCACATAATAGAGCCCTCGTCAATCACGTTTATTTCCTTACACTACGTTTCCAAGTTACGGTACTGTTGGGCACACTGATTCGTGCATAACATCATATGGCGAAGGACTTGGGTTTTGCTTTATTCCAGTCTTTGAGTGAAAAATCTTGAGTTACAGTGCCCGACTATGCCAACAAGCCTCATTGAAAGTTTCCTCATGTAACAAACTGTGCTACAAAAAAAAAAAAAAATCAAAATAATATACTCTACCGTTATATTAGGGACTGAGTGTGATAGCTAAGATTTAATGGAGTGATATATAGGGAGGATTTAAATGCAAAGAACAGTAGAAATGGCTCACGGGGACCTATGTGTTGCTTGTAACAGAGAGTAGAAGATGATAGGAAATACATGAGGAGGAGAAGATTAGGTAGAGGTAGTATGTTTGTTTGAAATTTTTTGCCCACAGCATAAACATTTGACATATTTCCATTCCCCGAGGGGAGTCTATTTCCATCCAGATAATAATGATTCATCTTCAAGATTAAGGTAAATGAAACAGTATGAAAGTAGACAGCTACTGAAAGCTTTTAAACTATGGCTGCATTCAACACTGACTACAGATTCTAGCACACTTTTCTAGGGTTTTAGTAAATATGATTAATCTAGCTTCTGGCAAATATCAGAATATATTTCTGAATATAATAGTATATACTTCATTATTTTCTTTTTAGCATTGTCACAAACAGTGCTACAGTTGGAAATATTGGACCACGGCAACAATCCTTACTTTAGAATTAATGTCAATAAATTAATACTGATTGAATATTATGAGCTAAAAATATATATATACAATTCCTTAACATCAGTACTTTAAATGTGTTAAACTCTAAAACAGAATAATGAATCAATGAATTCTATAAACATA